TAAACATAGAAATAGCGTCTCCAGCTGCTCCAGCTTCTGCACTGAACGTGTTCCTATTGACTCGCGACTGCTTCTTGCTGGTCGTCACGAACATGTGCAACTTGCCTCCGATGCTCGAACCGGTGTGCCGGCAAAGTCCCATAATATCTGCACGAAGTGCCAAACAATCTGGCTCGTCCGCTCTGAATGCCGAGTCCACGATGCAATATAACGCAGAATCCCCCACCATTTGTGAATATCGTACTCCTGCGCGGTGTGTCTGTATCCACTTAAGGCTCAGATTCAACACCTGTGCATGTCGATGTTTGAGCTGCTTGGCGTTCCTCTGACACAGTCCCACGAAAACTTGAATCTGCGGCCTCGATTGTGTTACCCATGATAGTGGGCCCAGAAGACTTCTTGCCAGAGTGTGTAATTCAATACTGACATCGTCGTCTGGTCGATGAACTGAATGAGCTGGCAAGGGTATCATATGCAACTCCATGATGTAGCCCTTCTGGTGCATTTAGATTGACTTCTTATCCGTTGTCTGCTCATGATCAACTCCTAAGTACGTGAACTTATTCATGTGCTTGCTGCACTTACCAAATGCCTTTTCCAATGCCCTCCACAACTCTTCTCGCGCTGAAGTCGTTGACGATCCTTTCAAATCATCCAGATGTCCGCAAACCAATGAAATACACTTGTTATGTTTATCATGCCTCATGTGCAGCTTGTTGTCGGCCTTACTTGGGATATGATGTGTCGCGCTCATGACCTGTGCCAACTTTAATGTGAACAATCTCGGCGCATCTTCAATCCCCAAATCGGTCGCAAGATCCGTAGGCAATGTTTCTCATGATCGAAGTTCTCCCAGCCCTTGAACGTCCTCAGAACGGAAGCGGCCTTGGCATCCACAATGAGCTGCGCTTGCCCGATTAAACCGCCCGTCGTCATCTGATTGATCTCGTCGAACGTAAGGCCCTTGAGGAAAGCTCCTGAGATATCCAACGCCCACATATCATATTCATTCTGGCATGCGTGACTGTTCACCACTCGTGTGCTGTACCGGGCCGCGGTTCCGCTGAAGGTCTCAACCTGTGACTGCCTGTCCTTAAAGCCCCTCAACGTCCATCTGCCTTTGACCTCGCGCTGCTCCTTGCCATCGATGACCATGATCTTCCACTTGAAGACCCAAGTGCCGTCCACAAGGTTGGTTGCTCCCCGCTTGAGCATGACACCGACGCTCTCGAGCTCCAACCGCTGCTGTAATTCTCTCTTCATGGATCTGATGACCTTATCATGATGTTGCCGCTGATCGTCGGCACTGAAGTTGTGAAGGTCTGGTTTGATAACCTGGCTGCTGAGCTTCGCATTGGGTAGGAAATATACCAAATCATATCCTTCTGGAGTGCGCTGCTTCGTTCGAAACTCCAAGTTGGCAATATACCAAGGTAAAGGAAACTCCGGTTCCTCGCGCTCGAAGTGGAACGTCACATCGTCCGTCAGAGTCAGGTCGTGCTTCGTCCGCTGTACCGGTGCCTCGAAGTACTCGAACTCGGACTGGTCGAACTTGTTCTTCTCGTCTTTTTGCCTGGGCAAGGGTTCCGGCTTCCTGCTCATGATGTATGTCTTGAATTCGTCCATCGTAGTGGGTAGCGTGATCTTATTGCCATGGTTGTCGTAGTAGAGGTCGTCGCCCTCCGCAATGCGCCAGCCTCCATCACCAGTATTTGTCTGTGGTGGTTCACGATCGTCAATGCCCGAGCCGGGAATCTCGAAACCTTCGTCGCTGATCTCATCGGTCGTTGTAGGTGAGGTAGGTCGCGCTGCTGGTGTGGTCGGTGCTGCCGTCGATGCTGCTGCGCCCGACGAAGATGTTGCTACTCCTGCGCCGGGAGGCTCGTAGGGTGGAGGATCCAAGATAGATCCTTCATCTCGATCAACTGCTGGATCTGATCGCTGATGCTTGGCTGCAGGTGGTGCTTGATCCTTTTCCTCATCTTCATGGGGTAGCATGCGGTACTTGTGCGCTCGACCATCGCCATGTACACCGTCATGTTTCCTCCTTTTCCGTATTGGTGTGAATTCTTCTTCAGGTGGAGGAACAGCCAGTGGGGCGTCAGGTACTCGAGATGGTTGAGGTGGTGCCGGAGGTGCTGGACTCCTGTCCATGTCTGCTGACACTTCTACCTGATCGCCATCGTTATCATCTCGCTGTCGTTGCCTGAAGAAGAACTGTATGAAGGATCTCTTCCACCAGTATGCTTCAGGTCTCTCGTCCTCGCAAAGGATCCGCTTCCAATCCACATAAGTGCTGCCATACTGAATTGTGTAAGAGCGAACTGGTGAATGTTTATACCACCATATCAAGAATGAGCTAGGCATCTCTGGTATATTCTGAAGATGATGCATACCACAGCCAATCCTTGCTCCAAGACAATGCCGTACTCCTGCCAAAAGTGCTAGATGAACGAGGCGCTCCAAAAGCTGGGATACTGCGTAGTACTGCGCGTGAGCTCCCAACTTCCTGCTGAAGACACACACCAGCCAAAACGTAGCACTGCCCTTGAACAGGAGTCTGCGAACTTGGTCACCTGCGTCATGACTGTGCTGATGCCCGTGATGCTGCTGTCTTGGCTGCTCGCGAAATGTAGAAATTCCATTACAGCGCCTTCCTGATATCTGCGATTCGTACCGACATGGGACGCCCCTGCTTTTTGCAATGCACGAGTCCGTCCCGCATATCTGACATATCTGTGATCTTACAGGGTCCAATCCAATTGGTGATGCCCTTCTTGTCGGTCTTCCTGAGGATGTCCACGAAGTCGCCGACCTGCACTCCGAGGCCCTGCCCCGAGGTCCGCGTCTGTGACTCCAGTGCTCGCTGTACTCTGGCTGCTGCTGTTGCTTCCACCATTGCCGTGTTCGCTAATTCTCGTATACGATGAGCATGTCTGGTTAGTCATGGTAGTCCTCCCACATCATCCTGAAGGGGTGCTGCGCTCACTTGGTCTAAATCTTGAAGTTGTGCTGGTTGTCGTCCGTAGAGCGCTTGATAAGGAGAGAAACCACCAACATTCAGTAACTGATTGTGTGCCATAAAAGCCTCGGCCACAATATACTCGTCTGGTATGGCCATGTCCAGTTCTTCCGCCTGAGACTTGATGCGCCGTATGGTGTTGCGAACGATCTCGTGGTGTCGTTCAACGATGGCTGCCTTCGATCCGACCGGCTTGGCTCGTCTCTGAATCTGGTGTTGATCACAATAGATGCGAGCTTCGTCGGATTCCAAGGCTCCTTCTTGATCTGCAATGAGGTGCTGAGGCGGTCCATGTATCGTGGCCCAAGCCAGGTGGATCACTCGTAAAATCTCTGGCGGCTCCTTGTTGGCTGCAACACCGCCTCCCGAGAACCTCAGGCACTCGTCAATAAGGTGGACGACGATGAGTTCTCCAACAAATAACAGGTCCACTTGAACGTACTCGTTGAACGTGAGAGACAGTCGCATGGTCGGCATGTTCTTGGGTGCTGGTCTCTGCCACATCCGACATGCCCTACACGTGTCCACGATATCGTGCGCCATCTTACAAACCTCCATCGGCACGCCGGCGTTGTGCAACATCCTGATCATGTCGTGCGCCTGGGCGTGCCACCATCTGATATGAAATACTCGAAGTGTCCGTCGTACCAAATTCATGTCTGCCGGCTTGAGTTGGTGCAATGCCCTTCCGAGATCGCATGGCAACCACGTACGCATGTCTGTAATAGGTGGGAAGTTCGTCGCCCTCGGTCTGCGCACCTCCTGAACGAAATCGTTGTACTTCCCTGCTACTGGTTCCACCACGCTGTCTTGGTGCGTCTGCCAGTCGCAGTGGGCCTTCACCTTCTGCGGGTGCAGCTGCTGCTGCGGCTGCCGGTGGTGGTGCTTCAGGAGGAGGAGGAAGCGGTAACTCAAGTCCTGGATCGGGATCCACTCGATTTGCTGCCGTTGGTTCATCATGAAGACGTGGTCGTGGATCTCGAGGTAGCTTCGTCGTTCGTCGCTTGCCGGAGGCTCTGATTGCCGCTTCTCCCCACTTGCAGTCGAGGCCATACGTGTGGCCTGCATGATCACGTGGTTTGTACGTCTTGCAGGATGGACAGTCCCACTCCCGGGGTGCGATCAATGACCGCAAGCATGAGCTCGGATCTCTAGTATGTCTGGGGTCGTACATGTCGCGATTCGATCTGCAAGCTGAGCGCTTGCCCCAAGCAGGCATGCGTGATTCGGGTGCTCGAACACGCTTCCGTGGTGCCTTGACTTCCTCGGCTGGTACAGCTGCTGCTGCAGCTGCAGCTGCCGCTGAAGGTGCAGCCGCTGCCGGAGGATCTGGTGCTGGTGGCAGAGGTGCTGGTGCTGCCGCTGCCGCTGCGGCTGCTGACCTATGCCGTCGTTTGGGTCGTGCTGCTGCTGCTGCTCCTGGTGCTTGTTCTTCTTCACTCTCGCTTTCGTCGTCGCCCGCTGGGAAGAATATCTGATGCAATCGCAAATGTCGTAACAAATCGTGAATACTTGTCGCAACCAGTCTGGCCAACTCCCAGGTCCATAGACGTGCGTCGTGAGACGGACCGCCTGCGATTGTAGCATGCTGATGACTGCGGTCGCACTTCAGGTTCAACAGCGGTCTGATCAACAGATAGTGTGATGCCCAGAACTCGGCGGGCTTCATCAGGTGCAAGAAGGGGGGTCTGTTCTCGCGAAGGCTAGTCGTACACTGATGGACCACGCACCAATGAAGCTCAAGATGGTTTCGTACGTAGTCCCATTCCGCCATGTTGTACATCTCCGTCGCCTGAGGATGTTCCGATAGAAAGTGTCGACGGTGACGTAACTGAAATTCTGCAACTCGACCTGCAAGCTTAGCAAGGGGCATGGATGTCCGCCTACTCTGCTTCCAGGTCTCCGGGTTAGTGATTCTGTTCAGCGTCTGCCAACCAGCCAAGCCCGCACAGGGAACACTGAGAACTACTATCATGACCTTGTTCGATTTGAGGTACTGCCAGAGAGCTGCTTCCTGCGTTGGGTCGAGCAGGTCGATGCCTACGATGATGTCGAAGTTGAGGCCGATCTTGACCTCATGGAAGCGGTGTATCATTATCTGTGATGTTCTGGCGTTGCCTCCACATATCTCCACGACGTCGATGTAATGGTCCTTACTATGTGAGCTGTACTGTGAAGGATAGGACCAATCCGTCATGAAAGCAGTGAACGAGTCATACTTGCATTTCTTTGGCATGTGGCTGTAGGTCCTGTCGTTGGTGTCTGACCCACTCAAACCACGCAAAAGAAACAAACATAGAGCAAGTATCCTGTTCCGGCTCGTCGTTCATGATCTGATCGTCGTCGTCGTAGATGTCGGTGTTCGTCTGGTTGAGAACCCACGACGCCTGCTTGAGACTAGAGTCGTCGAGCCCGCAGTCGTCGTAATGCTGCTCCACTTTGAACTTCTTCTTGCTCGCCATGGCGTGCGTTGGGTCGATAGCCTGTGACTTCCGGTGCCGTTCTCGTTCCTTGGCTCGTACTGCTGCATCGGTAGGGTATGCTGTGAAATTTTCATCGAGGACGTCGAACATAACCTTGTCGCCACTGCTGTCGCCCGTCGTCCTCGGAGGGGAGTGCGCTGATGCCGATGTAGCCGCAGGTGGTGTAACAACTTGCTCTCGTGATGGCTTGTGCTCTGCCTTGAACGACAGGTCGAGGAGGCTCGCGACCGCCGCCGGTGCCTCCATGCTGTTGACGATGCCTGGAGCTCCCAAATCAAAGTTGGTCTCCAGGCGGATGGTTGAGGTGTGGCTGCCATCTCGTAGTCGTACCATGGTAGTCTTCAGGCTGCCACCCTGATGCTGATTGCCAATGAAGTCGCTGAAGTGTTGCTGCACCCAGACTGCTCGCACGCGCTCATTGGCCTCAAGAAGAACAGGTCGTTGTAGAGATACCTGCTGTTCGCTGAGCTGGCTGATGAGTCGCAGTCTCCGTCGATGTGATCTCGTAAACTGTCCTGTTGTGGGAGGTCCTGGTATTCACGCCCATAACAGAACTGGCCGATGCTGGTGAAACAATGCTTGCATGTGGTTGCTGCTGTTCGCCGTGGTGCGCCGTGAACTATGATTGTAGAGCTGGACATTGAATCGTTGACTGCATGCATGGCTTCTTTGGCCGTCGTCGTCATCGAGAATCCAAATTGTAGGTAGAGCGTCGTCATGCACAGAAGGAGGTCGAGGTAGAGAGAGGTTCGGGAAATTGCTGCGCGTCTCCCTGGCGGCCTGCTCCTTCAGAGGAGACTCGGCGTGACGCACCGCCGAGTGGCCGACCCCCTAGTGGGAACCTCCGGCCGCAGTGACGCTCTGGTTCTCCGTCACGTACTGCGGCGCTGCCTTGAAAGAGACCTTCTTCTTGTACTTGTCGAACTCCGTGCATGGCACCAGTGAATGTCCGCTCATACTGCTCTCGATCTTCAATGTCGATGTGCCATGGGGGGTGTTGATGTACACTCGGCCTGGTCCGCATAAGTGTATCTCGTTGTTGACCAGGTCGATGACTGCCCGCTGGCGCCGCATCGATTCGATTCCCCACAACGCTGGCGCCGTTGATGGGTCCTCCTCAGTGCCAACAACAGGGGCCGTATACGTAGTGTCGCTCTTCACGTCGTTCGCGATGACCCTCAGAGGAATCGCGATGGCCCGCTCGACGAGCTGGCTGTTCTTACCGACGCCGGAGACGTTGATGGGCTTGGATAGCTTCTGCCACTTGACCCGATCCGTCACGCCCTGCACGCTGAGGATGTCCAGGATGCGCTTGACGAAAAGGTTGCCCACCAAGTTGTCGTGTGCGCCGGTGACCACAAGGAGTCCTTCACGTCCTCCGCCTGGCAGCTTCATTTTGAGGAGAAAAATCTGCTCTTCGTTAAAGTCTGCCGTGTTGAAGCTGCTGTTGGCGTCTAGCTCTACGTCCAAATTCCACCAGGGAAAGAATCTTGCTGATATCTGATCGCCGTCACCTGCTGTCTGATCCAAGATACGCAACTGCTGCAGGATGGAGGTGTGATGATGTTCTGCCGGGTTCGCCTGCTGCGGTTCCTGGCGGCTGTAACTCCTGTTCGTCAACTCCTGCAGCTGCCGCTCCTGGTGAGCATCATGATCCGCATCGTGATCCGTCATGATGCCCATGCCGTCTGAAATAATCTGTGACCGCTCCACCGTAAGTGTATACGTAGCTGGTTCTTCATGGGGTTCGTGATATTGCCGAGACTGTCCCACATTGAAGAAGTGCTGCTGCATCATGTACATGTGTCCGGGCGTTAGTGAGTAGTCCTGACTCGTCGCCGCGGGGGCTGCCGATGATGCTGCCGATCCTGATGCCTGTGTATGATGATGTAACTTGGGGCAGTTCCTCCGCAGGTGCTCGTCGCTGCCGCACTCGTGACACTTCATCACCTCGCCCGTGACTGGGTCCTTTCTGTTCTTGCCATGCCCGTGCTGGCCGCCGCCCTTCCCCTTTCCACCTTTGAAATACGTGGGGTCCTGCTGCTCGACGGGGAAGTGGCTCGGCCTGCCAAACTGTAGACGAAATCCTCCTTTTCCTTGCCCGGAGCGCCGACCGTAGTAACGTCGATTGAACCTCCTAAGATTGGTCGGCTTCTTCGTGTAGGCCCTGTAACGCTTCTTCATGTTGAGGTATGTCTCGTACAGAAACCGTCGTGATGTCCTCGTCCGTGCACTCTGGGCCCTGGGGATCTTCGTCCGACTCCGTGTCGCTGTCGCCGAAGAAGTCCTCGTACACGTAGGGCTCGTGGGGGTTGTTGTCATGTGAATCGTGCATCTGGTATGCTGCTTGCGGCGGTGCTGCTGCTGCTGCGCCGTTGCCCCAGGCCGTCTCAGCCTGTGGAGGCTCCACATGTCCAAAGTACGTCAGATGTGCTTGCTGTCCAGGGTGTGATGAATGTTGTAACGTACCATGTGGATGATGTTCCAAGATGTGCGCCTGCTGCCGAATGTGCCTCTTGAGGATGTTCAATTTTTCGTCGGTTGTCGGAAGCTGGCCATTCAGTGGAATCAGAAGTTGAAACCACATGATTGGCGCCACCTTGAGAGCTCTGAGAAGAACCCATGCCAACCCTTGAGGTCCCAATGCGAAATTATGTAAAGATTCGTCGCCCTGTATACTGTGATGTCGAACCTCGAGAGTGCTTGATCTACCGTCTCGCCTTGAACTCGCGTGAAACCCAACAGCTGTGAGAGAAGCCGAATACTCTGTTCCTCTCTGCCCAGGACTCTTGCCATGCCTCCGAGTTGAAGAACAGCCGCTGGTCCTTGACGCGCGACTGGGATCTCGGTGGCTGCGCTCCACAACATCAAGTCCTGAGCGTAGACCCACAGCGGATAACTCGTCTCCAGCTCTGGCGACCATGAGGGAGGTGTCTTTGTGTTCGCCATATCTGGTTGAGGATTCTGTCCAGGATTGAACCGCTGAGGTCCGCCATACTGGACCGGGGGTTGTTGCTGATGTCCTGCGCCTTTTCCGCCGAACATTGCGTCGATAGCTGATCCCAAAATCAAAGTAGGAATTCTTGAATTGACTGTCGGAGAACCCGTCCTCGCACGTGGAACTGTCGAGGCCAGTGCCTGCAGTCTCGGTGTCGGAGGTCACGTGCTCGCAGTGGTACTGCCGTCGCCTGGCGGCGGGAGGGGAGCAATGCTGCTCCGCTACCACGTGCAGTGGCACGTGATAATGTCCCTCTCCCGTGATGACAGCGGCGGCAGCCGATGATGCAGTGTAGAGCTTTTCCGTACAATGTCAAATACAGTGCTCTAGCTCTGACGCGTCTTGAGCCACAATGCCAGTACGGCGTGGCTCACGTGCAACATGCGTGCGGGGCCTTAAGGATCTACAGGAGGCCCCGAGAGATACATGTAACAACTTACTGGAGAAGGAGGAGGAGGAATAGGAGGAGGAGAAGGAGGAGGAGGAGGAGGAGGAGGAGCGAGGAGAAGGGGGACGGGCGAGGAGGAGAGGCGAGGAGAGCAGGGCACCTCGAGCACCTCGACCCTCGAACCTGTTGTTTCTAGACCTTCGATCCTCAACCTTCTCGGACCTCGAACCTCGATTCTAGATCCTCGAATCTCGATTCCCGATGCTCTGGCTGACAGGCTGCCGTCGATATCCGATCCCTCCCCCCAGCGGGTCGGGGTTCCCGACGGGCCCTGGGACCGTCACCGGACAGGACCATGATTCAAAACTGCTCGGGGGCGGCCAAGAGGGGGGAGTCCAAGAGGGGGGGGGCGCAGATCGTGGCCAAAGGGCGCGTGCGAGGCCCACCTCCTCCTCCTCCTCCTCCTCCTCCTCCTCCTCCCCCTCCTCCCCCCAGCGGGTCGGGGCTGGGAAAAAGGTCGGGTTGGTCAGCTCTGCGCAGCGGCGGCCGCAAGGGGGCGGCGCGGGCCGAGCGCCTCCACCGCACCGGCCTCCCGCCGGGCAAAGGCGTCGAAGGCCTCTCCGTCCACGGGGGGGAGGGCGCATACTGGCGGGGTGCATTGAATGGCGCCTCTCCCTGCCTCCCTCGTCTTCCTCCCCCCACCATCCCCATCCTCCCTCCTCCGTCTTCCCTCCTGTTGTGGATGCCGCTGCAATGGACATCCCAGCAGTCCTACCATCGAGTTTAAAATGTGTTTAAAACGTCGGAACATGTTATAAACATGTTATAAACATGTTTTAAACATGGCTTCACATGTTTTGAAACATGTTTTAGACATCTGGAATTTTACATGTTAAGAGTTAAGTCGGGCCTGTCCCTCTACAGGAGGGTATTCAAAAATAGTCAGAACATAGTCTGGGGACTATTGTTTGACTATTGTTGAGCATGTTGGGGATACTGTTTTATTTTCTCGTGAAAATATCCCTCTATGGGAGGCAAACCCGACCTATATATATATATATATATATACATACAGACATACCTATACAAATATATGCATGTGTATATACACATACTTTTATATACATATATATATATATATATATGTAGGTGTATATCTATAGGTATATAGACGATGGATGACGGGAGACGGCTGACCACGTCGACGGGCGGCGGCGGCGCGCAGCGCGGGGTGGGCCGGTGCGCGCGCGCGCGCCAGGAGCGGCGGGGCGGCGGGGCGCGCCTCTCTGGCGGGCGTGGCGGAGCTGTCCACGTCCTGCGCCGCGCGGGGCGGCAACCGTTTGGACGCCCGAAATGGGTACGGAAAAATTGGCACAATGCCCAACAACACATGTTGTCCCAAACCAGCAGCGGCCGCGGTTGGGCAGGCGGCCTTTCTGTCTCAAGTGGAAACAGTCCGCGGCGGCGCGGACAGCGAGCCCTGTTCAAAATGAACCAGGACTGCTGTTGGGCATTGTATCCATTCTTTCCGTACCCGTTTCGTTCGTGCCGAAGACGGGCAGGGGGGGGGACGTGCGCCGCCCCGGGCCCCGCCGAGGTCTGGCGTGCGGGGCGGAGGGGGGGAAGGAGCCGCGAAGAGGCCTCGGAGCTCTCTCAGGACCGTCGGCTGACAGGGAATGCTGCACGGTCGCCGCCAGGCTGCTTGCACCCCGGGTGGGGGCGGAGGGAAGGCGAGGAGCGAGATGGAGGAGGGCATGAGAGGGAGGACGGGGCGGGGGGCAAGGGGATGCGCGGGGAGGGAGGCGTGAGCCTCCTCCCTCCGCTCCTCCCCCTCCTCTTTTTCCCCCCTGCCCCTTCCCCTCTCTGCTCGGAGGGAGCGGGCCGGAGAAAACCAAGAGGGGGGATGATGAGAGAGAGAGAGAGAGAGAGAGAGAGAGAGAGAGAGAGCGAGGACCAGAGTAAGTCCACGACAAAGCAACGATCCTGCAGGACACCCTCCCGTCCCAAATCCCCTCCTCGCGAGTCCCTGAAGATGTGCTTTCAACTGCGGCTACCGGCGAGACTCCGTGTTATGCAAGATCCATCTCCCGTAAGAGAAAGCGGGCATGGTCACAAGGTCAAAAACATGTCCAACGCTGGCTCCTTCTAGAAAAAGGTGTGCCTTTCACCCGTGTAGCCGTTGCACAAGTTGAATCCGATAATCCGATGTTATACCAGCCGCTCGCCGTCCGCGTAACTGCTGTACACTTCTGAATTCAGGATAAGAGAATCCGAAGAGGAAAGCTCAAGCGGGAACCCCATGTGGAAAACCAACTGCCCTCCATCCACGTAGCCGTTGTAAGCGTTTAGGACGACTGCAAGCGGTACTCAGATGAGAGCCCAAGTTTGAAAGCCACACGCCCTTCATTCTTGTAACTGCTGCAAACTTCGAACACTAATGTGCTCGGCGCCGAGGCGAGAACCCCAACTCAAAATTGGCCTGCCCTCCATGCGTGTCACTGTTCGGGCCCCGGGACCATCGAACATATCCCGAATTACATTTCGGAGCGCAGGGACCAGTGACGCGACCTAACTTGAAGCCATTGGCAGAATCCAGCGGCCTCCAGAGCCTCAATGAACGACTTAGCGTCTCAAGGACTCAGCGCGCGCTAGTTGGCGCCAGCGCGCGCGCACTAGTAATCAGAGTGAGGGGGCCGAACGGTCATTCATTGTCCCTGGGTGCGTGGCTGAAGTGAGATTCCGCGGTGCGGATTCGTGTTGTTGTTGTTGTTGTTTGTTGTTGTTGTTTGTTGTCGTCGTCCCACCCGCAACCCGCCCCGCGACCCACCCGCGACCCACCCCGCGACCCACCCGCAACCCACCCGCGACCCACCCGCGACCCACCCCGCGACACACCCCGCGACACACCCCGCGACCCACCCTGCGACCCACCCTGCGACCCACCCGCGACCCACCCGCGACCCACCCCGCGACCCACCCCGCGGCCCACCCCGCGACCCACCCGCGACCCACCCGCGACCCACCCCGCGACCCGCCCGCGGCCCACCCCGCGACCCACCCGCGACCCACCCGCGACCCACCCGCGACCCACCCACCCCGCGACCCACCCGCGACCCACCTTCGACCCAAACCACGTTCAAGGTACAAACCAACATTTTCGGCGCCTGCGGCGGGCTTTTTTTGCATTCCTTCCAGGTGGAGAGCCCGCGACCCACCCCGCGATCAACTCGCGACCAACCCGCGACCCAAACCACGTTCAGGGTACAAACCACATTTTTCGGCGCCTGCGGCGGGCATCTTTTGAATCGTTCTAGGTGGAGAGACCGCGGCCCACCCGCGACCACGTTCAGGGTACAAACCAATTTTGTTCGGCGCCTGCGGCGAGCATCTTTTGCATTCGTTCCCGGTGGAGAACCCGCGGCCCACCCGCGACCCAAACCA